TCCAGTTTGAGGCTATTTGAAAGGTAGTTCTGTGATTATTCTTGTATATGTCTCTTGAACATATTTTGTATTTCTGTAGGTCATATACCCATAAAACAAGCTGGATCTCAGTATGTACACATGGCCAACTTTTGTAGAAGTTTTCCAAAATGGCTGTGCACTTTACATTCTTATCGGTACTTATCTAGATCTTCCCTTATACATGGTATTTTTAGTCTTTTAAGTTTTCGTCATTATATAGTGGATGTGTGTTGGAATTGTGTTTTGGTTTTAATGATGGGTAACAACAGTGAGAAGGTCCTGTCTTTTGGAAAGAGAACAGGCACATAAGACAGCTCCTTGCTCCTCCTAGTGACTGAGACTTGCCAAAGGACTTTTTATTCCATTTACAGAAAGGCATTTGGTTTAGGCATGTAATGAAGGTGACAAGTCAAAATGTTCCCTTAAACAGTTTAACCCAAGCCACTCTAACCAAAGGTTTGACCAGTAAAACAGCAAAAAGGAACATGACTTGGACTGGCCAGACAGTGCCCAAATTCAGAGTTGCCTTCCCCTGATACCACTGTGTAACTGGAGAGAATAAGGACAGCTTTCAGTTATCTGTTCCATGAACAGGGATACTCCAGCCAGTTATCTGTGAGTATCCACTCAGACCCCCAGACTTGATAGGATTGTTTTAGACTGAAGACATTTGAAATTCTACAGATGCAAAAAGCAGCTTTTTCAGAGTTTTGTTTCTTCAGAGGCAAAAACTTCCAGGAGTGAGCCTGCCACACACATCCCCTCTCCGGGGAGTTTTACTGGCCAGAAAAGAAAATGGAGATCTCAGTCACCTGAATACACAAAATTACAAACTTTGCTGCCTCCTGTTTATCCTCCTAAGAACCATTTTTTTCCTGAAGAAACTTTTGTTTGTTTATGGTACCAGGGCTTGAACTCAGGGACACTCAACCACTGAGCCACATCCCCAGCCCCTGATTTTTTATGTATTTTTATTTATTTATTTATTTTAGAGACAAGATTTTACTTAGCACCTTGCTTTTTTGCTGAGGCTGGTTTTGAATTCATGATTCTCCTGCCTCAGCCTCTGGAGCCACTGGGATTACAGGTGTGAGCCACCTCCCCAGCCTTCTCCCTCTTCTTCCTGATTTGGTTAGATACATAAACCCCTATCTCTAATTATCAAGAAATCCACTTTTTTTTTGCACAATTCTGTAGTCATAATGGAAAAGTTAACATCATATCTTCTATTAATCTTTTAGTTAATTCACAAACCTCCAAACACATAACCTTAGTTGGTGGAGGAAAAGATTGTTCCTCCCAGCAATTGTTTGAACTTCAATAGGACACATCAATTTGAGCCATTACTCCATCAATAACCTGTTTAGTTGAATTGTGCTAGTTAAGACACGGAGTGCTTATGTTAATATTATTTCACTGGAAAGCTATCTAAATACAGACAGTACCCAAATTCAGAATTGGGCACTAAGTCCCCGTTTTAAAGCTGAGTGTTCATGGGTGTTTACTGGTGATTCCTTTTCTGTGAAGCAGGTGCCTCAGACACAACCTCCAGTCTTCTCAACAAGTCAGGGCCTGTGCTACGCATCTCCACATCTCCTGCTCCGTTACCGTTACCGGGTGTTTAGCATTTAGCAAGGAATGATTCAAACCTCACACACAAGGAACATGAAGACTATACAGGCTAATTTTCACCCCTAGAAATAAGCTGCCCCTCCCAAAGTCACCTTCAGTGACCCACTCTTCCTGCCAGGAATGGGTCCTTCAGACCCACTCTGAAAATAGGATTCTATTTGTAGCTTTGATGTATTTTTTTAAAAAAATCAGACTCAACAGGGGATGGAACATAACATGTCACTCCCTTTTGCGGGGAGGGTGGGCAGAAGGGATACAGAATTACAGTGGCTGTAAGAACCCCGGGTTCCCCATGAACCCTCGGGGCGCTGCTCTCTGCAGGTGGAAGCCTGTGCTGAATTAAGCAACCTCCGAAAAGGCGCGGAGGAGCGACTCTAGCTGGCGTGGGGTCTCCAAGTTGCCCTTCAGGCCAGGTGACCCAGAGGGGTGAGCTTACCTGCAGGGCTGCGGCGAGGAGCCAGCGGCCGCCACGACACGCCCGGGCCGCCTGGGAGGTGGGGAGGGAGCAGAGCGTGGGACGCGCACTGGGTACCCGCTGCAGGAAGGGGTGCAACGTGCGTAGGATTGGGCCGGGGAAGGGTGAGAAGGAGCCCGAGACCCACCCGGGCCACCCCACGCGGACGCCCCCTCCGGCTACAACCCGGGCGGCGCGACTGGGGGCGGGGACGGGGCGGGGCGTCTGCGGCGCGGCAGGTGCCCGGCTCCGGGAACGGCCCGCAGAGGCCCGCGGGACAGGGAGGGTGCGGGGCGAGCCCAGGCGCCCAAGGAGTGGTTGTCACAGTCTGGGAATTTACAAATACCTGTGCCCAGACCCCTCCCTAACCCAACCGTGGGATGGGACGTGGCAGCAGCTGGTTCAGAAGGGTTCGTTTCCGCAGCCACCTGTTATCCATTTTCTTAAAGGCTCAGTACCTAGGAGAGAGCGCCCCAGCACGTTCGAAAGCGAGCAGGGATTTTTTTAAAAGATTAATTTTCTGGAAATAAATAAAAATCGGAGAGCCTGGTGCAATTGCAAAAAAAAAGTGTCAATACTTACCTTTTCATTAAAATTTCTGATTGTAATTTCAAAAATTGATTTCATGTGGCAAAGTGCTGGAAATTTAAAACCGGGATAGGACTGTAGCTCACGGGTAGTTGCGAATTTAACAAGCCGTGGGCTCAATCCCCAGCACGAGAGAGGAGAAAGAAAGGGAGAGAAACAAAACAAAAACCCCAGTTGCACCTCTAAAAACCTGGAATACATGTTCACAAGAGTCTGTTTCAAATATACTTGTGTATTTTAAAAAATGAGTGTTATTTGCATAACATTTGCTGTACTGAATGTGCTGTAAAGGGATTTTTTTTTTTTTAAGGCTAATCAAGAGAATTGGAATGTTCCCAGATACAAACCAAATACAACAATCTTATTCCTTGGCAAAGGATGACAAGTGTCAGTACTTCATACAACTAGATTTAATAAGTTGTTATTACAGAAAAAAAAGAAGTCCAAACTACAAAGTTTAAGCAGTTGTAAGCAATAGCTGCATTGAGCTCCATGTTTAGTCACAGTACTGTAGTTCCATACAAGCAATATTAGTCCAAGCCCCAAAGGCAGAAGCTGAGTAAGGGTTACTAGCAAAAAACAATCTAAGAGAACAGGTAATAAAAGATACAATACATTTAAAATTAGTTAGTTGAAAAACAAATACAGAGATCTTAGCTGTGAACACTCTAAAAGTTATGTCCATTATTTTGACAGCAAAAATACAAATACCTAATACTTTATACCCCAACAGAACTATATCCAGGAAAGAAAAAGAGAAGTTATCCTGTTTTTAGCACCCAAGTTTTCTACTTGTTGCAATTAACTTCATCATACAAATTTAAACATCCCTGAATCACAGATCCATTCTTGACCCATTTTGGGGTATAGAGTAAAGTCAACAGCATTAATTATAAAATACTCTGTGGTAAGATGGAACACTATTGCAGCTGAGATAGAGAAGTTTGGTTATAATAAAAGAAAAAAGAAAAAAAGAAATATTAGCTGTCATACCATACAAATTAGTGAAAAAGCAACAATCCATACATATACTCCAGTTGTAACAAAAGATACTTTTTTCACTAATCTGTGACTAATCTTTCATTCAAACCTTGCAAGTAGAGATGTCACAATACTCAAATATTTAGGTAGGAGCTTTACCCAGTTAAATACCATTTTGTTGCTAATATAATAGATAAAATGAAAACTAGCAGATATTTGCTAATTGCATAAATGCAGTACATTCTGCATTAGCCCATGCCTCACTAACAAGCTATAAAACACAAGATATAGGCAGAAATCTAAGCATAATCTTTATACCACTAAACAAGAAGTTTTCCAATTTCTTTTCTTCTGTTCCTAATCATTTATTTGTAGTTAATGTAAAATTCCAACCAGTAGTACCCAATTTGAGTTAAAATTTTACATCACAACTTGATCTAATCTATATATTATTTACAAAACTGAATACACAGAGCGTACCCAAGAGCCGACTCTGGACACACGTTTCTCCGAGTTATTGATTAACCTCCACTCCGTGGCCACGGAGCTGGAAGAGGCCACCAACGACTAGTAGAAACACACCATCCATCTAGAGCAAGTCATTGGATGTTCCATTTACGCAACACCAGTTTTGCAGTTGTATTTTTTTGTTTTGCTTTTAGTTTTGCTTTAACTTTAGATGCCATTGCAACGACGTGCTGTCTTAACAGCACAGCTTCCCGGTGAGGTGGGTGTTGGAAAAGCAGCAGCAGGAGGGCAGACAGATCATGCACGGGGTGACCCGGTGTGTGGCCGCAATAAAGGGCAAAGGGGCACCATAACAGGAGCAGGCAGGGGTGTGAAGGAAGATGCGGACTGACACGCACAACGTCCACGTACAGTGGTGACGACTGAGTGTGCTTCCAGCCACCCTGTGTGGAGGGAAGAGACAGCACGGGCCAGGCCTGTGCTACACAGAAGGTGGCATTCCCTTAACAACCCCCCCTGACTCATAGACGTCATCACTGTAGATGTATGTAAAGGATTCCGGACAGAAAGGAACCGTCTCACACACGGACAGCAACTGGTGGCAGAATCTCACTCACACACACATACACACACTCAGGACACAGTGAAGAGTTAGAGGGAGAAAGCAATGTTGACCTAGCTAGGTTTTACACCCAGTGGGATTTCAGTAAGGGGTGACTTCATTTCAGGGCCACAGATTTGGCTGCACCTGGTGTTGTATAAATCCACTGTGACATCCCTAGAGACCTGTACTGTGACATCCCTAGTCTTACACTAAATCACTTTAATAAAGGAAAAGGCTTGTCGAAATTTCACATGTTCTGCTCATTCTGTCATTTTATTACCCAATTATCCATTACATTTTCCAATCACTTTACATAACCAACCATTTTCATCGTTGTCACACTATTGTAAACCACATCAGCAAGTTAATACATAAAGCTTTGCATTTCAAAAAACTAGACACTTTAGTAACAATATTACAAAGGTTTTAGCTTCAAAAATAACTGAAAATGAAAAAAATAAACTTTTAAAGAATTAGCATCATAAAATTAATTTATTCCAAGTAAAAATACAAAATAATATTATGACATTGACCAGATATGAAAGTCCCTCCCAGAAACAACTCTATTAATGATTGAGAAAGCACTCCTTAAAGAAAATACGAAATAAAATGAAAAATATGTAAATATGTTTAATTTTTTTCTTAGCAAAAAATCTTTCTAAAAATAACAATGAAAATTTGTCTCAGTACAAAGGCTACATTACTATTGAAAAAATACCAGCATGAAGAAAAGGTACATATTTGACAGTAGAAAAATGATTTCAGTGAATCACAATGTCTAAAGTTTGCAATGAAAATAAATCTGCAATAAAGATTTATGCCTTTTTTCTTTTCTTTTTTTTTCTATTTTTTATACAAACAGTACAAACAGTATTGCACATAACAACAAATAGTCGAGGTTAGGTTATAGCCTTCAAAAAATCGACTAGTTCAAGTGTCACATCAAGGAAAGGCCACAACAGGACCTGTGTTACCCAGGGGCTTCCCAGTCAAGTTGCAGGTCAGAACACCTCTGTGTTTTAAAAAATAATTTTTTTGAAGGACCCTCTCTTTTAATATAACATTAAGAACTTGGGGGCACATTTATTTACAAAACAAAAGGGAACATGTTATAATTTAATAAACTAAAAAAGTTCTCTTTAAAAAAATACAAACAGAAGAACTCTTTCACAATCCTGGTCAGTCGTGCACAATCAATGCTTGATTATAAATATACAAATTAAGGGAAAGTAGTTTCCACCATCTATTCACAACTTTCAGCACCAAATGGAGTTTATTTTTGTAACCTAGTCTTTATAACAACGTGTTTTTTTCCTTCACTTTAGCTTTATGCTGTACAATCCTCCAGCTTTGTTTTTTTAATCTCAGTGTTATTTTAGTACATGAAAGAGGGGTGCTTCTTCAAAAAGTTTTGCTTCTTTCACATAATTAGGTAGATTTCTGTAGGTTAGATATGATCTTTAATATTATAGTTATAAAGCTCTAACTTCTTCATTTTCAAAAAACACAAATAAGCATGAAAAAAATAAAGTTACCCATCTGTTAAATCATTTTCTTGCAGAATTAAATTAATATATATTTTTCTGAATAAACTTACTTAGAAAATATCATTTTCTTTCCTATATTTCAAAATTGAGGTATTGCAAAAGATCATGTCAGTCAGAAAGCATGCCTTTTTCCTTAAAAACAAACAAACAAAAAAATCTTCAGCCAACTTTTGAAAACTGTCTAGAATACAAAAAGTAGTAGTGCATAACAAAATTTCTTGTACAGATGAAAAACCAAACCAAACCACAAACATAGAAAAAAACAAACGAACAAACAAAACCACACCTGGGCTGGAAAAAAGCAATTATTACCAAAAAGCCCAGGTCACCTCAATTGGGGAGGATTCTAATAAGCATTTTTAATCCAGTAAAAAACTATTTTGTTTTTCCTTTTTGAAAACAAACTATAGCTTGAGAGCCAGTAATTGCAACTAAACACTGGAGAAAAAAAACAAAAACAAGCAATACTAATTCAAGACAATACAAGGACATCACAGCACATAAAACAGCGACTTAAGTCTATTCTGCAGTGTCACATCCAGTCAGATTGTCCCCAGAATTCCAAAACAGGAAGAAGATTTAAAAAAAAGATTTACATAGTCTCGCGATCATTGTTTGTGTTTATATATTATTACTATCTGCAGCCCAAGAGTGAATGCTAAAAAAATGTCCACGGTAGTACTAGCAGGTCTTAATTCTATTCAAGCTTTACAGGATAAATCCAGGGAATTAAGTAGTTAATTTCTCACCCAGACAACCAACTCTGCCCAGGCCATCTTATTTTATACAGACATTTCTTTAGCATCACCATCACACAACTCTCTTAAAGATGTGCCTAGTTTGTCAATCTGACAACTTATCTCTAGATACTGTATATATTCTTAGTGTTTGTAAGCTAAGATGAGCTCTTTGGTTTTCTGGACAAGGTCTGAAGCTATGTAAAATGGTGCAAGCACTAGGAGATTGTAACTAAGAGCTCATGTGTTACTTAATAATATACCAGTTATGAACTGTCAAGTTCGTTAATGTCTGACACAGAGGCTTTAAACAGTTAAGTTTGATCACAGTTAGACATAATCACTTTACTATATAAAATAAATTGCACAATATATAACAGAGCACCGCAAAGTACTTCATCTACCATCCACAAATTTGCTTTAAGAATATCCTACACCTAGGTTTTATATTGGTTGTAATATAGGTCATTCTGTTATGGGCTCCTCCTATTCAGAAGCATTCCATTTATTGAGGCATGCCTTCCTCCGATCGATTACCAATTCTTTGAATGAAAAAAATCTTGTTTTAAAAAATGAGTATTTTATAGCTTATATAGATTCTTAATTTGTGCATTGTGGGAAGTTTTTATACTAGACATTGGATATAAAATTTATTGCATGCAGCAACCTGATTAAGTAAACATGCAGTCAGAAGTAGTGACCTTCCATTGACGCTTTCTGAAGTCTATTCTGATCTTCTTTCGGCAGCTGACTCTCTATCCCTAAATCATAAGAGTGTGTTGTTGGGTTTTTGTTTTTGTTTTAATTGATACCTTAGCCTGAATAGAGTATTATGGTATTAATAATACCATTTTAATAGCAGCAAAAGCTATTGCAGCATAAATTTACATAACACTAAAAGATCTAACCAAAATCCTCAGCAAAACAAAAATCAAACATGAAGGGAAAATAAAGATCCAGCTTATGAGGTATCCTTACAAGTCAAAATACAGAGCAACTAAAGGCTTATTTTCATTAGGGTTATCCTTATTCTAAATGACCCCAACTAATGATTGCTGAATTGTGAAGGTTTTGCTACATCTGCCACCTACTCACGAGTATTACCTTTGGTAAGTCTTGTCCTAGGGGCAACTCTCTAAGTTTCTGAAAATAAGTGCATGCTCCAGTTTCAAAACAATCAAAACAACAACAAACAAAGGAATCACAGACGTCAACCTGATGGCCGCTGATAAGAATGGCAGTCTACGTACAGTCACGAGTGACAAATCAGGTGTAAGAAATTAAGGTACCAAGCAGACAAAGGTGTGAATCAAAGTGCAAATCAGTACCGTTATACACTCTGCAGTTTTGCATTATACTGGACACTGAGTTCAGTAATATGACTGTAAATAATAATAATAGTAATAAAAAGACCCATTTCTTCTTTAAAAATCGAGAACGAATGCACAGATTTCCAGAACGCTGTAAGCCCTGAGGCAGTGCCCTCTCTTTTCCCTCCTTGTTATCTACTCCAGTACTTGTGGCTGGGTCGGCCCTGGGCTCAGCTCCAGCGGAAGGGGACGTGACGAGGGCGGTCGCCTCCCTCCTTCACCAGCGGTTTGTGGAACTCCCGCCCGGCACGGGAATGTATGCTCGCCCAGCAGTATTCGCAGTAATACTGCAGACAGGTGACGTTGGCACAGAAGAACGGGGCAAACTTCCCACCACAGCGTGTGCCCTGGCACTCATCACACATCTGATCATCCAGCACATATGGCTTCACTTCCACCTGGACCCAGAGAGGAGAGAGGGGAAAATGGGTTAGCAATGTTTTTCACATTTCTCCCTTTTGAGAGTTTAGAAGCGGCTTAATGATTTGCCACCACTTGGAACTCCACTAATAAGGACAGTAGCCAAGACGGTGGGCTTTGGAATCAGCTCCTTGGTGCACTAGCTGTGTGGGATTAGGCAAATTCTTGACCTCTCTGTGCTTCTGTTGGCTTTATCTGGATAACTGTAAAACAGGTGTAACATTTATACACATGTGATGTTGCAGTGTCTGCATCAGCGGTTGAAGACTGGCAGGCAGGGCATTATCTATTCAGGGTTCCAGCTGAATAGACAGCTTGAAGCTTACTGTGTTGTTACTGGATGAGGATTTCTTTTTTGCACCAGGGATTGAACCCAGAGGCACCAAACCACTGAGCCATCTCCCCAGCCCTATTTATTTATTTATTTATTTTGAGATAGGGTCTTACTAAGTTGCTGAGGCTGGCTTTGAACTTGCAATCCTCCTGCCTCAACCTCCTGAGCCACTGGGATAATAGGCCTGCACCCCTTACCCCCAGCTGGCCAAGAGTTTTGAGGGATCTAGTCAACAAAGTGTGTCATAATACCCATCATGACTGTCTCTAGGCCAGAGACACAGTGATGCCTTATTGATCAGCTTCCTGAGTGAGTAATGGATTCCTCATAAATTACTTTTCCCAGAGGCCATTTTCCCCTTCTGGTGCTTAAACATCTTGAATTTTGAATTTTTTGGTGAAAAGCTTACTAAAATATATTATCCATCCTGCCCCAGTCTATGCAGGAGACATTATGGATGTTCTTTGAAGTGTACCAGGTAATATAGTGCCATGGGTGATTTTCACTTTTGCTTTCATTCCCTTAGAATCTTGCTATCTGCTGCCATGTCCAATAACACCCTTCAAACCCCCTGTATAAGTTTGTGATTTCCAATCATTTTCATTAAGCTTACTAAAAGGGGCACACTAAATGCCAGTCAAATGACTCTTAAAAGCCCCAGAATAAAGGATGTGGGTTTTGGAGTGCTGCTGCACTCTCTGAGGCCTTTCCTGGACACTTTCTGAGGGCTAAGTGATGCTAGGTGTTGATCACCCAAAGATGAGACACACACCAGGACTCAAAATGATCCCAACCCAGATGTGCAAGGCTGCTACAGCAACCTGTCAGAAGGCAACAGCCAAGCTGACTCTGCAAATTTACATAAATTTAAGAGAACAACTACATGAAGAATACTCTTTAGGCTGTCCCACACTAAAAGAGGGTAATTATTTTGGCTCATGTGGATTTACTCACATGACTGGTATTTATGGATTGCTTATTCCTTGGCAGGCCCTATATTAAAACTGAAATGAAACACAGAAGATGACACAAGTTCTTCCCTGAAATAATTTATGGCCTAGGACAGTTTCTTCAAGTTTCAGAAGGACCCGACTCCCTTGGAGATCTTACGTGACACTGTTGAAGGGAGGCCATAATTCTTAGTAGAGATGTCCTAAACGTCCATACATAGTTTTTGCCATATTCCAATGCTACTTGGACCATTACCAGATATGTTAAATGACTATCCAAATTAATTCCACTTTTTCTAATAAATAAATACAACAAAATAAAAACTGGTTTCTCTTTTCATCACCTAAATCACCTGGAATATCAAGCCATGACACTTTGGAAACATCAGTCTGGTGGGAATCTCATTACTGAACTATATAAAACTCCAAAGGCTCCAGGCCCATGCAAAGCCAATTGCATGGCCAAACTGACCCTTTCCTTCAGAGGGACTTGCAGGCACAGGAATGATAACTACCTTCAGAGATACCTGGATTACTATCCCACATGCCTGAAGGAGGTGGTCATGTCCAAGGATACTGAAGAGCATGTATAATTTACTGATGAGCTGATGACCACTAAGGATAAGTGGGACTGATGAGAGCTTGGACAAGTGGCTACAGAAGATAGACAAGGAAAATAATATGTTTAAAATGATACAGACAAAAAGAAATTCATACCTAAATAAAACTGATTTCACACTTAAGTTTTTTATTTCTAACAAGCTGGAGAAATGTTTGTCTGCGGTCATTTTGTTATCAGTCAACAAAGTGACCTCCCAGAGTTTATAAAACAATGACTGAACAACTCTCAGTGGCAGAGAGAGTACATCAAGAGACCATACACTATTCAAGGTGCTGAATTTCCTGTCCTTGGACATGAAATAAGAGGGAGGTACTGGCCAGTGTCAGGAGCGGTTTGAATTATATGCTAAAGGCCATATTAAGGACAATCAAAGACTAGCCCTTGATGTAGTCTGCCATTTGAAGAGAAGAACCAAATAAACCATCCCAGTGCAAGTAAGGCATGCTTATGGGTAGATGGAAGCCAAGTAGAAGCAACCATTTCAAATAATGGATTTGGAAAAGTCAAGTTGGAAAAAGAAGGCTGTAATTTGATAGGAAGAAAAGTAAGGCTTGCACCTCTTCATACAGACTCACAGCCCAAATACATGCTGTAAGCCAGGGCGTAAAGGAGAGGTAGTCAAACAGTAGCACACACCAGCATGGCTTTAACTCCAAGAATCACTCACCAGGAGGCCAATGAAAGGACAAACCTGACCTAAGGATCAGATTATAAGAAAAAAATGAACTGGAGCCTGTGGATGGGAAAGGCAGAAGAGAAGATGTACAGAACAGCCACGCTACAGCGGGGAACAAACAAAGAAGGGGCACCTCTGTTCTTAAGATAAATACAGCACACAGACCTTGAGTAAGAGAATACTGCTTCCAGGTGATGACCAGAAAGAAGAGTGAATGAGAAGTAGGATAGAGGTTACTGAAAGATTCATACCATCTCCTTCTCCTGACTTCAAGGGAGGGGCTCTCATCATCACATTTCGGGTGAACTACTGGACACTAGGGTTTGAGTGATTGTGCCTTCTCTCTCCAGCTGCCCAGAGATCCAGGGTCAATGCCAAGAGCACTATGGCAATGTCAGGTTTTATCACTAGAGGCACATGTTTGGACCAAAGGAAAGGATAATCAGCTGTCCTCTGGCAAAGAAACCTTGACTCTGGTTTTCCATTCTGAGACCCACACTTCAGAAGGACACATTGTCAGAAGGACCTTACTCTCTTGGAAATCCGATGTGACACTGCTGAAAGGAGGCCATAGTGCTTAGTAGAGACATCTATAACTTGGCCGAGACATTCACGGCACTTCTGGGATAAGAAGCAGCAACTGCAGCTTGGGGCTGCCTAACAGATTACTGTTCAATGTGAGCCCAACATACCATGTGTGAGCTATATAGGTTAAAGGGAGAACTAAACCTTGATAATAAGGAATTTAATTTCTTTGAATTTTTTAACTTTCTAGGCTTCTTGGAGAGATCAGACCACAAATGGTGGCCATAAAGAGACACAAGAAATCAGTTAATGATAACATCAGGAAGCTGCTGATGCAAAATCTTTAACAGCTAAAGGCAACCCAACAGTGCTAAGTCTAGCACACGCTGACCAGAGCCCATATGCCAGGACAGATAATGTCATCCATGTTGGGTAATCAGTACATTAGTTAAGTGGGTTGCAAATAAATTACCTAGACAAGAGTATTTGTAAATGAAATGTTAGAGTACTTTTTCCAGCTAATAGGGAGAAATTTCAATCCAAATTAACTATTTTTTAAAATAAATTCCTAAGGTCTAAGAAAATCTGAGGGAACATGTCACCTCAAATAAGAATGCTGAATTCCCTAACAGCTACATTTAAACAGTTAATCTGGGACCCTGAGAATCAAGCCAGCAGTCCCTTTAGAATCTGTACAAGTCATAGTTTTAACTCACACTGGATTCTGCCTGGCCTTTAAAAAACTGGATCAACCAAAGCCACAAAGTATGTCTCTTTGTAGTTAAATCAGATGGACATCAGTAATAATTCATTAAAGTTTTGTTCATATATACACTATGCAATGGCTAGGGAAAGAACAGCACTGAATACTTAAAGTTGTTTACTTATTTAAAGAAAAATCTTTTAAAAAGTTAAGGGCAGGGTATAAGTGTCCCTATTTCTACATTGGACCCCGGTGTGATCCTGGCTCACTAAGCAGGCCATTTCCTATCACCTGGTACAATGGTGCTTCTTGGAAAAACATTTAATTTGGAGTGCTCAAAGCTTTCAAACATGATCTTCTTGGCATGTGTCACAGAGTACATCCATCCAGGCCTAAAAATCACAGCAGACTCACTGACATTCCCATTCAACACATCTTTCCAGTTGCTGAAGGAGGTCTTCCAGCAGCTGACAATACTAAGAACGTCTAACATAAACATGCGTTTTTGGTTTTTCCATCTGTCTATGAGCCAGAATCCTGCTATTTAGAAGATGACAGATCACAGGAAATCAAAGTAGCAAAATGAAAATAGCTTTTCCTTAGCAACGAAGTTATGCACAACCTTCCAGACATGGCAAATTCAGTTATTAATTTTAGAAGTGACTTGGGGTAGTTTTTTGTTTGTTTGTTTGTTTTTCAGTTGTAAATGGACAGAGTGCTTTTATTTGTTTATTTATATGTGATGCTGAGGATCGAACACAGTGCCTCACACATGCCAGGCAAGCACTCTGCCACTGAGCTGCAGCCCCAACCAGGGTAGTTTTTTTTTTTTTTTTTAATCCATAGGGGAAATGGTTTGGATTTTGTTTTCAAAAATTTATAGAGGATGGGCCTTACCATTATTCATTCATTGAGATGGTAGGGAATGAAAGGTTTGAAATGATCCTTGTTCCTTTCCCACAGTTCAAAATATGCTTATTGTGTGGCAGGGTTCTGTGTCAACACCTCTTCCATATGTTTATAGAGTGCAGAGATCTGTGAGCACTCTAGCCTGAAGATTTCTCTTTCTGGAAAACTGATGGGTCAGCTGACAGTACCCTGCACAGGGCAGACTGACCCTCCTGCACCTAGTTTCCTCCGTGCTGACTGGGAATGGGGTTGGAGATGT